CTCTCCACTCCCACCCCCCTTCATGGGCACTCCATCCGACCTCAGGTCCCCATGCTTATACAGCAAGTACTGTTACCCACAGAGCCGCCTCCCCAGGCCCCAATTTTTGTCTTGTGAGTCTGGCTTCTTTTGATTAGCATGATGACTCTCCACTTCCAGCCATTTTCCTGCAAAAGACATTGTCGATCTTTCCTGCGGCCCTACTAAGTGCTCGTGGAGTTTCCTCTCTTGTTGCTTACAGATGTTTCTGACACACTTGCACTAGGTTCCCAGACACTCAGCTGTCCCTTGGGCTGTGAACACCAAAGTTCACATCCAGGCTTCCTTCCCCATGGGCTGATTTTTACCAGGCATTATGATTTAGTTTCTCTGAATGGAGAACCCTGTATCAACTTGAGGAAGTTCTTCTCAGGTTCCCCAACTTCTGCCCCCCCCCCCAGTCACTCAAGTTCATCTTTTGGAGTATTTGCCTGCATTTTCAACAACAAATAAGCAGTCACATAAATAAATAAATTAATTAAAACCCCCACAAACTCAATGGCTTAGAATGACATTCATAAATTATCACCCAGTTTCTCTAGGCCAAGAGTCTAGATATAGTTTGACTGGGTCCCCAAGGTTAAAATCCGGGTATTGATGGAGTCTGTAGTCTCATTTGATGGTCAGGGTTTGTTTCCAAGCTCTAGGGGTTTTCCCAGAATTCTGTCCTTTGGGTTGAGGGACTGACCCCACTTTTTCTCTCTCTGATGGCTGGAGGTATCCCTGACTTTTTGAAGCTGCTTTCAGATCCCAGCCACACAGCCCTTTCATAACAGGGCAGCTGGCTTCTTCAAGGCCAGTGGAGAGCACCCATAGCTGCTTTGAATCTTCTGGAGGCTCACCTGGTAGGGCCAGGCCCATCAAGGCAACCTCTTTTGTATGAACTGAAGATCAACAGAACACAAGAGGGTCACGATCTACCTATGCAAAGTTCCTTCGCCTTTGCAGCCCAATTATGAGAGCAACTGCCGCTCATGGTCATGGGTCCTGTCCACACTCAATGGGGGAGATTAAGAGTGTGTACATGGGAACTATCAGTCTTTAGGGGCATCTGGGGAATTTCCCTAACAAGGCTACAGGAGGTAAATTAATTGGGTTAGAATTTATTTAAAATACTTTCTAACCAGATTGAAATCCTCAAGTATTTTTACAGCATAACTTCAAGTATGTTTTGTAGCAGCTTTGTGCAGATTTCCACAGCAAGTTTCGTTTGCCATCAATGTTTACTTCAAGTTTCCTAAGAATACTAGGTAAGCTCTTTTAGAACTTATTTTTAATTATGGACGTGGATGTGGGTATATGTGGATATGTGCACGTGAGTGCAGATGCCATAGAGAACAAAGATATTGGAGCCGCTGGAGCTGGAGTTACAGGTGGTTGGGAGCCTCCTGACATGGGTTCTGGGAATTGGAAATCAAACTCTGGTCCTCTGAAAGAGCAGTAAGTTCGATTAACTACTGAACTATCTACCATCTCTCCAGCTCAATGTTTCTCTCTGTGTAACTTTCTCTCTCTAAAAACAACAAAAATCAAAACAAATAAGCAAAAGACTAAGAAGACAAAAAATGCTAAAACAAAAGAAAACTAAACAAAAAGTGCGCATACATACAAAAAACCACAAACATAAAACCACGCAATTTATTTTGTGTAAGTCAACTGGGCATGGAGTCTGCCTTAGAGTGTGTTTATTACAGCCAATGACACTCCATTAGAGAAAAGGAATTTTCGCTTCCCCAGTGGGTATCAGTTGCAGACAGCTTCTTGGTTACATATAGAACCCTGTGTCCAGTTCTCATTCAAGTGCTGGGAACTTGTACAGGTCCTGTGTATTCTGCCAGTCTCTGCGAGTTCTTATGTGCATCAGTCCAGTCGTGTCTGGAAGACGGTTTCCTTGGAATCTATCTTATGGGGGCCAATTTCATTCAAACTACTTACAAAGAGAGTAAGAACATAAAGTTGGATGGGTAGGGAGGTGGGGAGATTCTGGGAGGAGTTGGGGGAGGGAGAAAACATGATCAAAATTTATTGTATAAGAAAATTGAATAAAAATAAAAATATCTACTGCAGTAGTTTTCTCTGGGAACCTGGATTTTCTAGTCATGCTTTGGTTCTTCCCTCCTTCTCTCTCTTTCCATTTCCTCCCCTTTCATCTTTCCTTGGAGAGTAAACCTAAGGCTCTTCACATGCTAGGCTACAACCCAGTCACTGAGCCTTCTTGACAATATAAAAACCAATGAAAGAATGAGTCAATCAATCAACAAAACCAACCAATCAGCCAGACACAGCCCGCAAACAGCATGGATGCTGAGGAGTATGAAATAATCCTCTTTGCTTTTAGTTTGGAGGGGATTCCTTTTCAAATGGAATAAACAAACAAAACCCGCTGTCAAAAGGCTCAAACAACAGAACTGGCTGTTAAAGAGGTAGGGGAGGATGGTGCGTACAGAGGCGGGAAGGGAGAGGCAATGAAAGACGGGCTTGGGATTTCCCGGCTCTGTCTTGGTTTAACCTGTTCTCTTAACCCATGGTGCCACAAGAAGAGGATTGTGGGAAAGAATCTGGCCTGCCCTTCTCGCCACCGGCAATTTCCGACTTAGTGGCTTTCATAACATTCACTGTATAGCAGGTGTTGCTTGGAGCTCTTCATCCATCCTAACTCAGTCCTTACAGACGCCCTGTGTACCATTCTCCCCATTTTACAGGACAGCATTGAGGAACAGGAAGGTTAAACAGCGTGGTCGGGACTGTGCCACAAGAGGAACAGCCTGGCTTTGCGCTGTGCTCTTAAAGAATTTGACCTCCTCCACTCAGTTGCACTGTTTTGCAAGGATGCTTTTAAAGCCCTCCTGAGGCTGAGGGCTCCCTGCCAAGGGCCTGTCATGTCCTTTGCTTTTCCTAGAGTTTCTTATTGTGGAGGTTTGAATGAGGAATGTCCCCCATAGACTAACAAATTATAATACTTTGTTCCTGTTTGGAGATGGTGTGAAACCTTGCTGGAGGTGGGTCCTGTTGGAGGTGGACCCTGCTGGAGGTGGGGCCTTGCTGGAGGTGGACCCTGCTGGAGGTGGGGCCTTGCTGGAGGTAGAGCCTTGCTGGAGGTGGGGCCTTGCTGGAAGTGGACCCTGCTGGAGGTGGTCTTTAGGGATTTGTAGCCTCCTTCTAGTTTGCTCTCTCTCCCTTGTGTTTGTGGTTAGAGATGTAATCTCTCTGCTTCCTGCTCAGGCTGTCTGCTGCTATGCCTCCTGCCTGCCGTTATGGACTCTCCCTCTGAAACTGTAAGCCCTAGCAAACTCATTCTTTCTTTCATTCTTTTTTTTTTTTGGTTTTTTGAGACAGAGTTTCACTAACACACTAATATATACATAACTCTGTCCTTAGAGATTAGGTTTCTTTGAATAGGACTGACATACTGGTCATAGAACTCAGAATCTCATGCATATGAGGTATTTCCACTTTACCATTGAGCTGTAACTCCAGCTTTGATGAACTATATCTTGATTGTCTTTTAACTTGCATTTTTATTTTCCTGTTGTTAGGGTCTGTGAGTCATTCCACAAAAGACCATATGCACGTATGCAACGTATGCAATCAACAATAGTGTTTATTTCTCAAGAGTAAAAATTCCAGCATGCAGGGGTCAACCATCTGACACAGTGGCAAACGGAAGCCCTGAGAGAAGCTTTCAGGCTTCTTTTAAGCATAGCTAGGGGAATTCCAGCTGTGGTTAAGTGTAATTTGAAGTGATTGGGTATAGACCCTTACTGGTACAGGAATCATTTTATGATTGGCTCACAACATCTGGTCAGCAACTATGGTTACAGTGTCAGGGGTCTGTTTGCTGTGTCAGGGGTCTGTTTGACTGAAAATAACAAGAACTGTTCCAGTTGTGGCCGGATAGGACCCTGATTGGCTACCAGACTGGTTGTACTTCCTGAGGGTCTGATTGAAGCCAGACATGAGTCAACATAGGATGGTAGGGTAAAATGGAGCATAGGTTTTACTTAGTAAACTAGCCCCTGGAAACAAAATAAAAACAGGCCCTGTTAGAGTCAGTCCTATTATAAGAGGGGATGGCCACTTCAACTATACTAGCACAATTTCTTACAAACTAGAGGCATTTCAAAAACAAAATGGCCAGCATGAAGCTAAAGACTAGGGGCACTAATGTCCCACCTGATTATGAGAGAAGAGGGATGGAGGTAGGCAGAGGGGGGGCATTAGGTAGACATAATGGGGACCTCCTGATTCCTGGCGATGGTGTGGAGGCTTAGGCCATACCATAGCTATCATGTGTTTGGCCTGGCTTTGGGCCCTGGTCTCCATTCTCTTTGAAACTTACGTTTCTAGGTGGAGCTTCCCTAGACCTGTTCCCACTGAGGTGACATTCCTTACCTGTCTTCTGTCATTGAACTTGTAGCCGCCTTTATCTTCTGCTTGTCCTGCTGTTTCCTCGGACTCCAGTTGTCATTGCTGCTGCTTCTTCTCTTCTTCTTTCCTTCACATCAGCCATTGTGTGTCTTCACTAATCTTATGGTCAACCGCCTCACCTGGATGCTTTATAGTACTTTCTAGTATCGCTGCAGCGTCTACTCAGTCTGGACCATGCCCACATTTCTTAGATTGGTATGTGGGCATCTTCCCATGTTTGTTGATATTGCATTATAGATAATGCAACCCCCAGAACATGTCTGTCAATAATTCATAGGGAAGAGGCTCTAGTGAAAGTAGTTTGGGTCACAAATGACTAAAGCCCAAGACAATGGTCTGAAGTACAAGCTAATGAATAAATGTTTCTGGATTTTAAGATGCTGGAGGCTTCCAGAAGGGACCTCCCCAAGCAGCTTAAGGAAGACCTTTAGGTGTAGCGCCTGAGGGTTGAGGGCAGTGGACTCTTCTCTTGCCTGATGTCACATGGGGCCTCATTATGCAGCCTGACCTCCTCTACCCTCTCTTTACGGCAGGAAGAAAGCCATCAGCAGATCCAAAGCCGCATCATCTCATCTTCTTCATTCCCCACCTCCAGAGGATTTCTGTCACCCAAGATTGAGGCATCCTTCTCAGGGAAAGGTAAGGATTCTCAGGGTGTAGGCGAATGGATATGAGATCCAGAGGCTAGCCCAGATAAATAAGGAGCAGAGCTGAAGATCTGTTTCGAAACACATGAAGATCAGGATGGACAAAAATCCCGGCTGCCACAGCTCAGGGTAGCAGGGGCGAGGGGGGGGGGGTCTTCAAGTAGAGCTTCCAAGTTAAGGCTCCTAAGTCTCCCCCCAGGTTTCAGCTTCACTTGTATGAGATGACTAACAGGTTTAGTGTGTCTGAATGTGTACTATGGAGCAAAGTTCAGCAAAATCACAGTGCCGCTGGAGGCAGCCAGGGATATCATGAATCATGATGCAAACTCCCCTGAAGTGGACATCAGTGGAAGTGGTGCTTTTCTGTTCGGGTAAAGAAAGTCTTATCCCCAGGAGAGAGAAAACTAGAGTTGGAGCAAGAAGGAGCTTGAGGAGAGCCACCACGAGTCCCAAGTTAATACTTCAATATTTCTGTGCAAGACAGTAGCAATGCCCAAGGCACTCTTGCCTTGAGAGTTCACAGAGGCACATGGGAGATGTCAGAAGGCCACGGCAGTAGTCACTGAAGGGCTCCAACATGTTGACAGGGGTACTTTTTACCCTGTGCAGTCCTCTGCAAGAAGAGCCTATAAATTCTTTATTTCAGTACTGGGTTTTGCTACAATTAGCGACCAAGGGTTTGGAGGTAATTTAAGCAGGCGAGAGGGGTAAGGATGGGGAATGAGGAGAATGCATTTATAAAACACTTCACTAATCTGAATTTGTACACAGAGTTCTGGGATTTTCTCATAGGACCACACCTCAAAAGCTTCCATCTGGGTACAATCAAAATGAAATGTTTGCTGACTGCTTATACCCTAAGGGCGGGATGCTCCTCCTAAGAGCTTCTAAAAGCTGTTCAAGCAAGCTCCTGCCCTGAGGAACACAATAGGGTGCTTACAGTTTTCTTGTCCCCCCTCTTTCTCTTCTTTGGGCTGACAGTAATTCAGAGCTACACTTTACATTGTTTAGGGCCTTCTATGTAGACAGTGCCATGGTTGGTCAGTCGTGAACTTACCAAAGAATCAATGTATCTTCTTAAAAATTTTAGTAGCCCCATTTTGGGACCTAGAAAGACCGGGAATGTATGATGAATGCACACCTAAATCTTTAACTCGGTGCCTGTGGGAGGAGGCAGGATGGGAGGGGGTGGAATTCTAATGCCAGCCTGGAGGGATCATTTTGATTCCATGCAAGAAGTTATTGTAATGAGGTCAGCTCTGGTCCTTATGCTATTAGCCGACCAGTGAGGACACAGAGAAGGCAGAGAAGAAATTAATTAGCATTGTGGAGGCTTTACAATCTGAGGTATTCAGAAACTTAGAAAAACTAGGTCTGTGTTCTTAAAAAAAAAAAAAGAAGGAGAAGAGGAAGATTCTAGAAGGGACCTTATTAAAGCACAGAAGGCACAGCTATTTAAATGGTGACATACATAGAAGCAAGAATGTGCAGAGAGAAGCTGAAAGGCAGCCAGGCCCTGAAGGAATTTGAGTGGAATTTCTTCACTGAGAGGCGTGGTTAATAAATAGAGCGGATTTCTCAGGGCAGAAACTGGAGCAGCTATTACAAAGAGGATTTTTTTTTTCTAGCCCCTTTCTTCTGTAGAGAAGGGAGTGCTAGGAAGTTGAGGAGGAAAACGTTAAAACAAAGGAAAACAAGCTTAGCTGCTCCCCCAGCCACCTCTGCTGCAAAGCCGTCTCTTCCCAGACATTTGGGGATGTTGTCTCGTTTAATAATCATAAGCCCTCCCTTTGGCTTCCAGGGTTAGCTTGAGATTAATACTAGATATCATTAAGAGCTTTGTGTGATGTCACACTTTCCCAAATCTGAAATCCCACTTGTTTGGTCTTGCTGCCAACATTTCCACTATTTCCCGTTGCACAGAAGGGCAGATGGGTGGGGGTGGGGATTAGAAAATCCTTTTGCTCTATGCTGTCACCCCTTCTCCAGCCTTCGATGTTGGGCTCGCCCTTACAGACCCAAAGCCTCCGGAACAGTTTCTGTTGTTGTTGTTACTGAAGACAAGGCTGGCCTTGGGACTGCTAGATAGCCCAGGCTGGTCTCAAATCCTCCTCCCATACTTCCCCAGTGTCAGGATCGAACACGTGCACCATCACACCTGGCTTTTGAATATGAATTTAATGTAACAAATGCCTGTCGATCCAGGCTTGTGGGCTGCTTCTGCTTTTCCTGATCAGGCTAGGATGGTTATTAGCTCATTGCGTGCACATGGCTCTCTCTGTTCTAATAAATCTAATGATCTAATGATCACCACAAAGGACTGAGGATTTCCATGTCTTTCGCTGAATATACCTGTAATTGTGTTGATATGCAGATGCCCTCTCACCTCAGGACACCCTCACCCCCCAAAACGGAATGAACTCAGCAGAGTAGGTAACTTAAAAATTTCCCCACTGAGTCGTAGAGTGGAGACTGTTATCTGGTGTTCCTGTCGCCAGGAATCCTGTCCCTCTAACTCGATTAAAAGTGAAAGAAGTATTTAGCCAAAGTCTTGAGGTCTCAGGACAGACAGACAGACAGATGTGGGCAGTGCAGCTGAAAGCATTGTCTTTTTAAAGGCTGTGGTAGCAGACAAGCAGAGTGACCAGATGAGCGTTTCCAGATCCACTGGTCTTATGGTCGTGTGAGCAGTTTGTAGAAATGTAGATTCTGACACATGCAGCCTTGGGATGAGCACTTTGAAGGGACAGACACACAGGTGCTAAGAAGACAGTCCTGTGGATTTTTTTTTCCTTTTTAGTGGAAACTTCTCAAGGAAGGACAATGGCAAAGGCCCTACTGGGTGCTAAGCACCCAGGAATTTGGGCCACTGAAAAGTCTGTTGTGATGTAGGCTGAGTGTTGGCTCCCTGGCAGAATACTTGCCTAGTATACACAAAACCTGAGTTTGATCATCAACACACACATACACACACACACACACACACACACACACACACACACACACACACACACAAAACAAAGCAACAAAACAAAACAAAAAAAGAAGCAAACAAACCGTGTAACATTCCAGGATTTTGATTTTTTTTTTTTTTTAAAAAAACAGGCCTCTTGTAGCCCAAACTAGCCTCAAACTCCCTGTGTATCTGAAACTGACCTTTAATTTCGGATCTTTCTGCTTCCATCATATCCCATGGACTGAAATTACAGCCATGTGCCATCACATTGGGATGATTCTGGGGACTGAACCCTGGGCTTTATACATGCTAAACAAAAGGGGAAACCCTGAATAGTAAACCAGACAGATGTTAATAGATGGCACTTGATTTCTGGGCAAGGGGAACACACGGGAAAGAGGGATTTCTGTGAAGGAGTAGACGGCGTTCTTACAGAATGTGACGTGGAGGGGATGTGTTGCAGCCACAACAAATGACCGCTTCAGCCAAAATAGGAGCTAACCCACAGCAGAAAGTCAGTCTCGCTCTGCAAAAAGCCAGAAATCTGCCGACATCTTAGCAGGAAGCAGTGGTCAAAGACCCAGAGAATCACCAGGAGCTCTGTTAGAACCAGAGGAGGGGCGGAGTTATCAGGGGCAGGTCGGGGCAGTCAAGAGAAGCACCACAGCCCTGCCAGTCCACTTAGAAACTACCAGAGGGCTGGTCGCAATCCCTGACCCCAGGACTCCTCTTAGTTTGCCGTGGCTCTGGCTGTGGAAGCCCTTTCTGAGAAGGGATGCCCTCGGCTATGTGTCTTGAACTCCCTGTCCCCTTCACCTCTGCTTGGGTGACCTCAGTCTGAGATACTCATCAACCTCTTTCTGGCTTCCTGCGCCACTGGAGTTTCCCGTCCATGTTTCCATGGGGACTGTTAAGTTTCGAGGGGCCCCGTTCTCTTTGCTCTGTGCCTCCAGGCCAACTTCATAGACTTGGGAAAGAAGGTGACTTAGGACATCTGCAGCAGCACCGTGGTGAGTTAAATGGGTCTTTGTGGAAGGGCCTGGGAATCATCACTGTTTATAATGATAGTTTTCTATGGGGAAATTCTTTGAGTTCCAAACACTCCATTGACTGGTGACCTTTCAGAACACAACTGTCCTATCTAGGCTCCGCAATGGGGTGAGATCACTAGCAGTTGTCAGAGGCAGGGTGGAAATGGGAGACCAAGGCCAGGACAGGCTGAGGTCAGAAGCCAGGCACAGAGAGGCAGCTGGGAAGGAGCCGCAGGACAGGGCCTGAAGGGGTCAGCGAGTCGCACATTTACTATTTTAGAAATGCATTCAAGTGGTGACAGTGGGATGAGGAGAGGACTTTGGTCCCCAATAATCCCCATCAGCTTCTTTAGAGCTACCTCAGAGAATAAGAATCCTATCAGCAAAATATACACGCTAGTAGACAAGGTTTCATGTAAGAAGTGTGGCTAAGCATTGGAAGAGCTTGCCACTTAAATGGATTGCATATGCCGTCTACTTAAAACATCAGGGGTTATGATCAAATATAACTTCTCCTAAAGTCTTCTGTCACTCTTTTGCCCCGTTTCCACGAGAAGGCCCTTCCCATGGTGGATATGTCATCTGTGATATGTGCTGTGGTTCTGCCCATGGATGTCTACCTGTGCTTTCTGAATGTGATCTGGGGATGCCATCTCTACAACGCCTCTGAAGACAGGAGACAGGATGCCTAAGTGGTCTGCGCAGTATACTCATATTTCAAGTCCTAGAGTTTGAAACTTATTGTTTTGGTCTATTCTCTCTCTCTCTCTCTCTCTCTCTCTCTCTCTCTCTCTCTCTCTCTCTCTCTGTATACACGTGTGGGGTGGTACACACGTGTGTGTGTATGTGTGTGTGTGTGTGTGTGTGTGTGTGTGTGTGTGTGTATGTGTGTGTGAGTAGGCTCTCATTTGTGCAAATGTGGAGACCAGAAGTTGACATCAGGTGTCTACCTCTGTTGTGCCCACCCTGTTTGGGGGGCAGGGTCTCTCACTGACCCTGGAACTT